CTTGTCATAAAAGAGAAATTAAGTTAGTTAAGCAGGAGTTTTCCCTCATGAACCTGTGAGATCAGTAACTTTAAAAATTCATGAAAATTGTCTCACAAAAAAAAAAAAAAAGGAAAGTTTTCAGTAGTCCTTCATATAGGAAACTCCAGGAAAATTGCCTGTAGTTCTCATAATCTCTATCACGTTAATTAATGCTTTATTGCATACAGGCAAGCTCTAGAATGAATAGTGCAACAGGCATTTTTCAAAGCAAGTTATAGTAAGAATGTTTAAGGTTTTACCATCTCAGGAGAGCTAAACAAGATTCTTCATATCTGAATATCAGAGAAGACAGGCAGGCTGACAAATGATTGCCCTGATTAAAGCAACAATGCCAGTGTGGTGTGTTGTTTGCACATGGACTGTTTCCTTTGAATAAGCTTTTTCTGACCTTTACAGCAGGTAAGAGCAATGCTTGCTTGAGGACAGCGCACTTCATGTGAGCAATTCAAGGAAGCCGTAAAAGTCCATGGATCTGGACCCCAAGGCTTGGAAAATCCTCTGTTGCTCTACTGTTGTTGTGTTACAGGAATGCTCTAACCATTCACCTCAGCAAGGACACAGGTTTCAGTGACCCCAGGATAAGAGTCTGTGTCTCATGGTGCTCTTTAACCAGTCACACAGAGTGTATGTGGTCACCTCATCCTCTACCTGTGATGGCAATATCTGCCAAAACACAGAAACATAGCAGAGACAAAGAAGATATCTGTGCAGGTGGGAATCAGCAGGAATGCCTGCCTTTTCACTGCACCTCAGTTTTCTGCTAGATGCTTCAGCCATGGCAATTATCCATGGGATTTCCCAGTTCCTCATTCAGGGACCCAGAATGCATAAAGATTGCTTGTAACCAAATATTCCTTTTCCCCATCAACCTTGTGTCAAACACCAGTAGAAAGCGAGGGACTACTGGTAGATATTTGTTGATACAAACACATTACAGGCAACATATTGATCACCTCTACACATCAGGCTGCGTGCACTGTAATTTAAAATAATTGGCAATGACAGATGTTCATTCTATAAAGCTCCACTGAGAATATTACTAAAAATTCTACTGTCCATTGATTACATATAAAAATAAAATTACATGGTGTATTGTGGTCTATTGTATGCATCCAGAGAGGAACAGTCTTCTCCCTTACACCACTATCCTGTATCAGCATATATGAGCTGAAAGCCTCCACTGTTATGATAAAACTAGACAGAGAAGTGGTTGTGCTGTGCAACATGACTCCCTAATTTACTCTAATTTATTCTGTTTTGGATTGGCTACTCCACGATTGGTATCATGGCATTTGTTTAAGATAAGATAGGAAAAGAAAAAGGGGTTTAAAGAAGCAAGGTCTTTAGCTTTCAAACCCAGCAGAGGTGATAAAAAATTACACCAATCAAGTGAAAAGTAGAAGAGGTTTTTGTACAGCAAATCTTGAAAATCTCATTCATATATGGAAATCTGTATTGATAAGTGTATATAAGTATTATATGAATGATGACTTGCTAAGTACACTTAACTGCTGTCAATATGCACATTATGTAGATCCCATTAAATACTTGATACCCTCAGCTCCTAATCCAGCAAGTGGAAACTGAGAATTAGTAGAAATTCAAATCTTTTTAAGATCAAGTGTAAAATTTGGCAGTGTTTAATCTTGTCTTGTCTTCCCATTGCTTCCTGAAATGAAAAGTTTAAAGATCTACTTCTTTTTTTTATTCCTTTGACATGGTATTTTAATACTTTGCCACAAACCTAGCTTGCGTACCATTTTGATATAGTAGTGTTGAAACACATCTGATGTCCAGCACATAATAATTTCCTGTGTGGTAACTGGAAAGTGCACTGAATTTTCCACGACAGACTTGCTCGAGGCATGGATCGTATTTTCCTGTAGTTATGGTGAAGGTACAGCTAAAATAAAATTTTGTACTCTATTTTAAGGTTAAAAGACTCATTAGAAGTAAATCATTAATCCAAAGAAGATCTGATCATTGCTATTAATAGTAAAGTAGATGCCCATATGCCCTGTATTTTGACTACTTCTACCTGGTGTAATGCATCCCAAGATACCTGTACAAGCCTATTCTAAAGTATTTTGCCCATCTGCTTTCACTGCAGGGAATTGTAAGGGTAACAGGAAATACTGGTTACTGGTGTTCTTGATTGGTGTTGAAGCCTGTTGAAACTGAGACAGGCTTCAACAGTGTCTGGAGTGAGCATTCACAAGTTTGTACTATGAAAAGGGTCTGTAGCCCCTCATTAGCACTGCCCAACATAGCTAGTCTAGCCCTTCTCCTGCGGATTTCAGCTATTTGTGATCCAAGACCTAGTTCTGATAGCACCAGCTCTGAGAAACTTCTGAAAAAATTGCTCCATCATGAGAAAGTACAGTGACATGAGATAAGAAACGCAAAACAGCAGCTGGTAGTTTTGAGATATGGCTAGTTGGCAGTTCAAGGATTCAAAAGGAAAAAACACTGCTATAGAAAGGTGTAAAAACCTAAGAGAGAAAACAGGTGGCTGGAATATGGCAACCCATTTCAGGGACAGCAAGGACTTTTCTCTGCATGGCTGACAGATGGCTGGCCAGCAGAGACTCACTGCTTCAGAAGAAATACAGCTTCAGGAATGTCACCTTCAGAGCTCCCAAAATGGAATGTTCACTTAGGTGTGAAACTGTGAAAATTATCACCTTTTAGCCTTTGGTTATGAAATTCCACACCTGCAGACCTCTAGTTTGTCTTTGCCATGAGCTTTTATTCTTCACTGTCAATATAACTCATATTACTCATAGTGCTAAAATGAGTAATATTATGCAATGTACTGGGGAGCACTTCTATAGCATGGAAATCATCATTCCTAAAACATCTTGACATGAAGATCTGGGAATCTTTAGAGAAGATTTGAGAATCTGAGGAATTAGTTCAGACTTGATCTGTCAAGAAACTGATGAAGAGCCTAAAGTTGTAAAATGGTGAAAGAGAACCTGCAAAACACAGGAATGATAACATCCTTCTGCTAATTAAATTATGAAGGCCTCTAATAATTGGAACAGGTGATGTTCCAGTTATGATTATTTTATATTAATGCTTTGGCAACTATGAGTTTCTGGTTGTATGTTACACAAGTGTATTAAAATGTGATACATAAAGCAACTCCCTTCCTTCCCTAATTCTGTAGCAGAAAGAAACCAACCAAATGCTACCAGTGAAACACAATTAAACCTCAGAATTCAGTCCCAAAGGAGTTTGACAGAGATGTGAACCACAGGGTACTCTGACCTGATTTTTTGGTCTGACTGTTGCATATACAAACTAAACCTCTCAATCTCACTTGAAGTTTTATCAGTGGAAATTCAAACAAGTGTAGTATTGTCCCAGGATAAGGAATTATGGGGAAAAGAAAAAGAAAAAAAAGACTGACAATTTGAAGTGCACAGTGATCCAGTAAACTGCAGAGATTAAAGATCTTTCACCAATGAATGAAAATGAAATAAACATTTTATCAATAGAAACATTATAGAACTCTGATAGTATATTAGCATATGACAAAATTAATTCATTGAGCACCTGAAGACATATAAAAGTTAGCTCTATGTGTTGCAATGCTTTGAGTAGTTTCTGTATTCAGTGCAAAGACCCATAGTAAGGAAGATGGCACAAAATCTTGAACTGAAGAGTGCTACATACCTCTTGTGGTGTTGTCAAGAAAGGCTAAAGAGAAACTAGTCTCTTAGTATGGTCAAAGGCTCATTAAGCAGTGAATTACCACTGGGGATGCTACTCTACCTCTGACTTATTTTTTGGTTTTGGTGGTTTTTTGTTTTTGCTGTTGTTTGTTTGTTTGTTTGTTTTCAATCTGGTTTGTAGGAGTAGCATATCTTTTGCAATGAAACCGCATCGATGGTGGAATCTCTTCTCAGACCTTCCTGGGCTGCTTGTTATATAACAGCGCCTGGCCGTGCTTTAATGCCTTCTCAGCGGCTCAGTGTTATCAGGGGCTAAATCAAATGAATATTTAACAGGGTCAGGTCCCCGGAAAAATAGTTTCCATCTGGGAAAATCTAAACTGACTGACTGACTGAATGTGTAGTTAGTTAATATTCAGGTACTGAGCTATGCTTATTTCTACCAAGTGTCCTATTAGGATGGCTTGATGCAGTATAAGAAATAAACCCAAAACCTGTCGTTTCATAGATTTCTTATGCTTCCTGTTGGTTATTTGTGTGTTTTTTAGGTGTTACTCCTAATGCTTATAAGAAAAAGCTTAGTCCCTTGCCCAGGGCTGCAGCATATTCCACTGAAGTTTAATCTCGAGCTTTCCGCCAGCAGAATCATTTCAGCTGAGGGTCTGCAGTGCCACGGGCAGAGGCAGCTGCCGGTCCACCTACACGCACCCATTTACTTCACCTCAAACCTCGGGAAAGAGCCCTAAGGAGTTCCTGTACGGGCTCTTCCCTGCGGGTACCGCTGTTTGCTGGGTACGCACTAACCTGAGGAGGCTGCTCGACTAAAAGAGGCTGGGGAGAGGGGAGGAGCCCCCGGGAGCCCCCGGGAGCCCCCGGTACGGCACGGGGAGACGAGAGCGGACCCTGGCCCGGCAGGCTGCCCGCTGGGGCCGGCTCGTCCCGCTCCGTCGAGCCCCTCAGGACGGACAAGCACCTCCGCCGCGGCCGCGCCCCCGCCCGGGCCCTCAAAAAGGGGACGGGGCGGAGGAGAGGCGCGACTCGCACCGGCTGCCGCGGGGGAGCTGCGCCGGGCCCGCACCCACGGCTGCCCGGGGAACTGCCGGGACCCGCCCGCACCTCGAACACCGCCGAGGCTCCCGCTGCTCCGTGCTGCTCGGCGGCACCGACTGCACCGGCAGCACCGGCGGCACCGACGGCACCGACGGCCGCGGGACACCCGCACCGCCCAGCGGTACCGACGGCACCGACAGCCGAGGTTCCCCCGCACCGTGACCGCCACCGCTCGCCCGCCGGCACCAGGGCCCAAGGGCACCATGACCCTGCTCAAGCTGTCCCTCATGGCCTTCAGCTTCGTCTTCTGGGCAGCGGGGCTGACCATGCTCATCATCGGCCTCTGGGCCAAGGTGTCTCTGGGCAGCTACCTGGCGCTGTCGGCCAGCGACTATCCCAGCGCCCCCGCCATCCTCTTAGCCACCGGCGTCGCCGTCATCATCTGGGGCTTCCTGGGATGCTTCGGGGCCGCCACGGAGCACCGGGGGCTCCTGCGCGCCTACAGCGCGTTCCTGACGGCCGGGCTGGCGGCCGGGCTGGCGGCCGGGCTCTCCGCGCTACTGTACCGCCAGACCCTGGCGCACGGCTTCCAGGAGGGGCTGCGCCAGGCGCTGCTGGCATACGGGGAGGACGAGCGGGTGGCCGACGCCCTGGACGCGCTGCAGCGCGCCTTGTCCTGCTGCGGGGTGCAGAGCTACCGCGACTGGCTCGCCTCGCCCTGGGGGCTGGAGCAGAACGGGTCGGTGCCGCTCAGTTGCTGCCGGGCCCGTCGGGGCTGCCAGCGCAGCCCGCCCGACGCTCGCAGGCTGCACCGCGACGGCTGCTTCGCCAAGGTGTCGGCCTTCGTCGGCAGCAACATGTCTTATGTTGCCACCGCTGCCCTGGGACTGGCACTGCTGCAGCTCATCGGCATTGTGCTGGCCTGCTTGCTGGCTGCCCGCGTCCCTGCTGGCCTGCTGGGCACGACCACCCCTCGCTGAGGTCCCCCCACTCCTGTCCCTTGTCCTCTCCAGCTCCCTTCTTTCCTCCAGAACTGAGTGCACCCCACTGGGAAAATCCTCCCTTCATATACACCACTTTCACCTGAGCATCCTTCTCCATGCTCCATTTCTCCTCTGGAGCCCGTGTCAGACATGTGTCAATGCTACGGGCATCTCCACAGCCCTTCAGAAGGTAAGGTGCTGGGAAGACATCTCCTGGCCTGGCCATGTCCCACTGCTCTCCTGGAGCCTCTGCATTTTTTCTGCAGAGTGGTGGCAGCACGGACAGACAGGGCTCTGGGGCAGCAGGGACACCTGGGGCAAGGCTGACTGGTTTTCTGGGTGATGTAAATACCCAAGACACTGAAATGTGAGGCAGGAAAGAGGAGAAGGTTTGGGAGAGCAAGAGAGATGTCTCTCGACATTACACTATATGAGTATTTCTTGGAGACTGGAAAATGGTGTCACTGGAAAACTGCTAGAGTGCACGAGGGGCAGGTCTGGTCCAGGGGCACCTAGGTAGCCATGCCAGAAGCTGACTCTGGGAGCTGCTTGAGGGTCTGTCCAGCGTCGTGCACCCCATTGCTGCCAAGATTTTCCACCATTGCTGTGGGCGGATTCAAGCGCCACGGGTGCTTTTCCTGCTGTGGTGTTTCCAATGCTGATCTCGATCTAAAGGTGGAGCTGCAGCTCTGTTACTCCCTCCTTCAGGATGTGCCTATCCTCTTAGCCAGTGCGTCGCAGATTATGTCTTTGCAGGGCTGCAAAGACCTTAAACGCGGGTCCTTGTCATTCAAGAAGGTGGCAAAGGCTGTAGGATCAGATCTAACGAGGGATGGCAAGAGAAGGAAAGGGCTCGTTGCCCTTCAGAAGTTTCTTTTGGACTTTTGAAGTGAACTTTAGGGTGAGTGGAACAGACTGTTTTATAGAAGGGTTTCTACAAACAGCCCTCAGACTGTGACATTTTTCCTTTCTCAAAGGATCTGTCTCTGAAGTGTGCCCCCACCTACATTTTTGAAGCCAGATCTGTACAACCTGAGAGTAAATGGAGGACCCTCAAGACTTGCTATCCTGAGTTTGTTCAGATCAGATAGCAGTACAAATCTACAGGATTTTGGTTTTTTTTTTTCACAACAGTTCTGTGTTTGCATTTGGAGTTTGAGAGAAAGCAAGCACTGCACTTAAGAGGGTCCTGAACTTTCAGAGCTTCACTCCTGCTTCTTCCCGTGTCCTTAAAACCTGTGAACTCGACTTTTACATGTTTCTCTACCTTGCAGCACAAAGACATGCCCCTATGTCATGGTTTGAGATAGCCCCAAAAATCCTCTTCCCCAGCAAACTGGGGAAGAAGAATTTCAGAAAAGAGCCAGAAACCACAAAGGAACTCCAGGATGTGGCATCTCTCAGGAATGTGACTAGCAAAGCTGTGGAGAATGGTCAAATACCAACAAATACAAGCAGGGCAAGAAATCTTGAGTAAAAAAGATGACTAATAGCTTCATGGGAGGAATGGTGTAACCTCGGGGGAAAGGGGATTAACATCATCCCTTTTTTGAGATATTAGGTGGCTGTTTAGCTATGAAAATCACATTCCAGATAAAGAGTGCAATGCAAACAGCCTTTTCAGTCATTTGGGTATTCATCTGCACAGGTGAACCCTGGAAATTTTTTTAAAATCTCTCTTTATAGAGAAAACAATGCTTCATTTTTAGGGCTGATGTTTATTGTTTATTATTTACATAATGTATTTTTAAATTTTTGTTTGTAAATGTCCCTTTTTTTTAATTATGCATTAGTGGAACCCCTGTTATTTTCTGGAAGTCAACATTATGTTGTACAATTTTAACAATGGACAAAAAGTATAGTTGTTATAGGTACTTGAGAAATGAAGTTTAGCAAATGCTAAGAGCAAAATAAATCACTATTTCAACTCCAATAAAGTATTTACATTTCTGTATGTCTCCACATGGTTCAACTAAGTGCAAATGAAATGAAGTGTACATTGAAATGTAAAGACAGTAGAACGTTGTAGTTTTTGTTTTTGTTTTTTTCCAGAAATCCATTATAGAAGCAATAAAACAGGTGTTGTGGGGAGTATGGGAAAGGGACATGGGGTTGCACTGGGTTTATTAAAAAAGTATTCTTTATTGGAGTCAATAGGCTCTGAAAATTTACAAGAATATGATTTTGCTATTTTTTTACTCCACTGATTAGTAAAATTATTTCTGATTTTGACCTTTATTGCTTTGTATGACACGTAGCAGTCAGTCAGAATGAAGTACACCGTTAAAACACATTCAAGCAAAACCCTTGTGCAGATATGCAATTCAGTGAATTTGTTCGGGTTTTAAGTTGCTAAGAATATCAAAATAGGAATGAAACTAAGTTTCAAGCGTACAAGTGTATGTCTGTATGATGGTCCAGTCTGAATCTGAGGACATCAACTTAGTGTAATGAATAATTAAAAATGTAAACCATCACTCTGCACTCTTGGCCTCACTGAAATAGGATAAACCTTGGCAGCGACAATGTAAATGCTAAGTATACTTATATCATCAAAGATTTCATGGACTGGCTGTGACTGTTAGTTGAATGTTTATTGCCAGTTCCTGGAATTAACAATATTAACTTCTGTAGATGTGTGAAAGAAGTGTCATTCTTCTCTAATTAATTCCCAAAATAAGAGATTCCCAGTAGCTCTTTGAGTTGTCCTGAATTCTTTGTGCCCAGTGCCCAAATCTTACTTTAATTTTAAAATTTATCTAGATTCAGTATTATTTTGTTCTGGATGGCCAGAATGACTGTAACTGGAAAATGTTAGAGTGGACAGTGCTACCTACTGCTTGCTGGAATATGTATTTGTTTTCTGTCATTCTTTCAAATTTAAATTCTCTCATCAAAATGGCGTATTGCACTAAAGATGAGTCCATCTTTTAAGAAAAGCTAATATCAATTTTAAAATTGGTGGTTATTCAAATTAGTATAGGAGCAAGCTGTGTTGCAGTTGTAGAAACAATAGCTCTGTTGTTTGGACAAAGTGAGATTTAGGATTAACAAGGGTGGTAAGATTAGACTCTTGTTATGAAACAAGGATTATTTTATAACATTGATCTAGAATGCCAAGAATACAAATCTTTCAAACTTCAAAAGTGGTTGACATTTTGTCCAACGTGAATTATTTACTGTAGCTGAACTCTGTGTTACAGATAATCAGAACTTAAAATGGCCTCTATAACTGATTGTGAATTTTTAGATAAGAGATGGCTTTCCTGGAATTAGAAAACTTAAACAGTAACAGTAAGATTGGGTAGGTCAGAGAAGAAAAAAGGTTACTTTTGTTGAAGTGTAGTTTTCATGTTTATTTATGTATTCATCTTCTTTATCGTTATCTTCTTTCTTCTGGGGAAAATACAATCATGTGCTATCATTAAGCAGCTGATATTGTATAAAACCATTGACAAGAATAGTACTCATCTAAGATTTCCACAGATAAATTACAGTAAAGATGCTCTTTTTCTTAAATCCAATAACCTACAGGAGATTTTGATAAATCAGGTGGCATAGGAACTGAGAAGGAAATGCAGTGTTTTCCCAATTGAATGTTTTGGGTTCCAATAAAAAAGGCATATCCATGGAAAATCTGGGCACCTAAGAAGTCTTACCACAGTCTTGTTCTGAAGCACCACAAAATATTGGTCCGGAACTTAAAATATAAGTCACACAACTAATAGAATTCAATACTTTCTTTTAGTCTGAAAAGACTTTTGACCACTGTAGTTAATACTTCATTGGTCATGTACCCATTATGCTCCAAAATGGTAAAAATACATATTTCTTCTCAACTCTATTTGATTCAAACACACAAATTTCACTCTGTTCAATATGCGATTTTAGTTTGCTTTTCTCAGTAGTTGTGCTGGAGTATTATGTCATGTTACTTGGCATAGTGTGCTTGTGTTTCAGTAATCCCAGCTACTGTCATTCTTGCCTAGAAACTTTCAGAAGAGATAGAGGTGGAGGCTTGCCAAATGCAGTAGCACCTTGACTTTCAGTGCAGAGTTCAGCCAAAATAATAATGAAAGTAAAGGACAAATCCAACAGCTAAATATACCTGTCTCATAATTTTGAATAGATCTGCTCACTGAAACTGTTAAAGGAAACACCAGGAGGACTAGGGAGTAAGCAGAATTGGAAATTCATTAATATTGCAAAACTTTCCACCACTGTGGCATGTTCACTCTTTCTTGTCCATTTTGCCCTTCCGCCTACCTCTGTAACTCCACTTCTTATGCCTGGAGCGTAATTATCTGTAACTCTCATCTCAGTTATTAGTGTTCTGCTGCCTTAGGAGTTCCCTTGAACCAACTCCTCTTTCTTTTTCTAGCTTCACATCCCAGGAGTCAAGCAGTCCTTCCAGGTCTGAGCTCCTTGTTGGATATGTTTTTGAAAAGAAGTGTCTTGATCTGCCTGGTTTTAGTAACAGTAGTTTTCTAGCACTAGTAGTCACCTTTATGTTTTTTAATCATATGAAAAATTTGGCAGAAAGGTATAATTAAATAATAATTCCAGAAGTTATTGTTCTAGTAGATATGTTTCTTACCAAAGCAACAGCCCTTCCTCCCCACCCTGCATATATCATCTTTGTTGTCGTGATGGTATTGTTTGTAGTTGCTGTTGTTTCGTTAGAATGATAATACTCAGGGAAACTTAGGCAGAAGCTAAACTAATTACTTTACAAGGAAATAAGTGGGTTTGGACCAGTTCTAGTGATTACATTAATAATTTAGTTAATAAAGTTTAGAAGGTACCATTGAGCAAAGTCATCAGAAATTAAATATGTCATCAGATGTTTTCTAGAGAGAGTAGAGGTAGAAAATCAAACTCCCAGAAAATGAGCCCCGTAGTTTGAAAGCAGAACAGAGATTAATTTTAAGTCTCCTGGTAAAGGCCATTGAGACATACACCTGGTTAATACAGCTGTCACTAACAAGTAGAAATGAAGATGTGAGTGCTGTTTCAAAGCCAGCTTTCTAGCATATGTTGTATATGTCATGCTTCCAGTGTGTCAGGGATGTCATCTTTTATTTCCATTCTGTGTGATGTTCCTTGTGTACTTATGACATTCACATTTATTCATTACTCAGTTTTTGGCTCAAGACACTTTTTGTTCTTTTGCTTTTTCAGGAGGCTCAGCAATGGTGTTGAAGCACCATTCTGTCCCTGACAGTGGAGCCAGTAAGATTTCTCCAGTGCTTCCTACATATTTCACCCTTAAAAAAACAGGACAGCACTATTTTTCTCAGAGTTTGCCCTGTGCAATATCTTGTTTGCTTCTAATTTATGATATGAAACACAGATTAATCAGCTTGCCCACAGAGACTTCTATCATAAAAAAGCATTGCTTGCCTTTAAGCCATTTGTTTTTCAGAGTTTTCTCAATGGTACCATCTAAACTTCATTAATGTAATTCCCCTGATGCTGCTTCATCTCCAGCTTTTAATTATGACGTTGTAGTACAATGGTCAGGTCCTTATTAGTTGTTACATTTCTGTGAACTTAATATTTTTGTTCTTTCCCCTGGCTTATATCACATTGATTATTTCTATCCTGTGTATAGATGTTTTCAATGCATACTGTTCTGCTTCAAATGAGATTTAAAAAGCATTTGACACCCTAAATGTCATATTTAGCTTGATCCAAATTATTACAATACTGAGTCCTGGGACTCTTTTCCAGAGCTGGTGAGCACAAAGCTGTAAGCCATCAGGAACTTTAAATAAAATTTATTCCGCAAAAGTAGGGTCCTTAAGTTCTTTTGTTCTATAGCACTATTAGTGGAGACCTATACACATGAGCATAGAAAGCACGATTGTGCATGTGTACAGTAGTGTGTGCACATACCTTTGTATATCACTGGCCCCAGGCTCTGCCATTAGACATTATGACTGAGGTGGCAGAAACACAGACAGCATCTTCAGGTTTTCAACCAGGGCTGTCCTTTTTCCACAGAAAAGGCCAAGACAGCTACTAGAAAATGAACAATTTCACCAAGGATAGTGCAGATGAAAGCACCAGGAATCAGCCACTATTGTATTTTCTTTGAGGGCACTCATCCTTCCAAAGCCTGGAAAGGCCATGCAGACCTGCCCAGTGCAGTGAAGGGTTCATGGTCGAGGCATCTGACACTAATCAGATGTCACATATCAGCCCACAGAAAGTTTGTGGTGTGCTCTGTTACCAGTCCTTGTGCCCTGCTGGTGGCAGAAAGGTCAGACACTGCTTAAAGAAACCATG